TTTTTGCTCACATAAATTTGTATTCGTCTTTTTGCAGAATATTCTGTATGTTATTGTTTTCTTCTTAGGCCGTCATTTCATTTTTCTATATTTTTGATGGCATCGATCCAATTCTTTTTCAAAATCTTCTGTAATAATATTTAATTCCAATTATTTTTATTATTCTCTGATCGAACTTTCTGTTTGAGTTTATTCAATTTGTTTTTACATATCTGTAATTTGGTAAGTCAGCTGTTATGCAAAGTTTAAACCAATAACTCGAAGCGCAAAAAATTGTTTTTGATACGCTCTCTTCTATTTTTGTTTACATAAAATTTCGGTGTAATATGAGTTCATTCGAATGAGAAAAAAATATGAGTGTATCACTCAGAGCTGATCTCTGCAATTGTCTAAGAATTCAAGCAACGCTTTAAGCTACAATCAATTTATTCAGGGTGACAATAAAATTGTAAAACCCAATTGATTTTGTATGAGAATGAAGGAGAGGACTTTAATTAAATCAGACCTTACCCTCTCTTTATTTTGTTGTCACAACAAACTCAACGGCCTGAATTTTTCGGCCAATACTATTATCAGCGCTGAGAGATCCTCTGGCAATATTGAATTGAACGCATTTACATTTTGCATTAATTTAATAAAGTACGAAATGTGTGACAATTACAACGAATGTAGCGTAGACGATGTAGTTTTTTTAACGATATTCTATACTTGCAAATGTGAGTAAATATGTTTTTGTGCGACGCACATTAAAGTGCAAAATATTCAGAATTCTACCCAGCCCAGATATGATTTTTTTAATGAGTAAATTTCCATCAAAAAATTAAATTACATTTCGCACTATAAAAGACAATGACTAACACATAAAGATAACACTAAGTTAAACGTGAATTTGAGGAAACGCCGTCTTCAAAATGATACTAACCATACTTGGTAATTTTTTTTGGCGAATTTCAGTGTTAGTGACTTTAACTTAAAACTATCTTCATTTGAACTTGTTTAGGTGTACTTGCAGTGGCTTCTATTTTAGAAGCAAACATGGTAAAAATTGTTTCATTTAATTACGAAGACGCGCCAATGTTTCAAATTGAAGCAAATATAGTTTTTTCTAAAAAAAGTTCAAGTTTGTAACAAAAAAAATCATTCATTTTATTTGAAAAGGCCATAAATTTCCAATATTACTGTCGCCCGGAACTGGATTGCATGAAAAAGCCAGCCAAATCGCATGTTATGTGCAGCTATCCAACCGTAAGTTTTCAGTCCACCTCCAGTCTCTTTTTTTTATTTATGCAAAAACACGCATGTATTTTCGGCGACAAACAAAATTTCACTGATTTTCAATCAAGCAATCAAACTACAAACCTTCCGAAAAAAGTATTTTAGATTTTTTGCTTTTGCTCCAAATTAGAATTGGACGTCTGGATGTAAGAGTCCACGATTTATTCCGTTGACCGATGCGCATAAAAAGATTTTTTTGGACGGTCACAATGTGCGACGTAATATAATCGCTCTAGGTAAATTGCCCGGCATTTTTGCCGGTAGAAAAGCTGTAGATATGGCAGAAATTGTGTGGGATGATGAATTGGAAATGATTGCACAAAAGAATTTGATAACATGCGAATTTGAGCACGACCAGTGTCGTCGAACGAAAAAATATATTTGGGCCGGTCAGTAGATGTCAGACGTGATAAATTTGGTATCAATTATTGAAGTAATTTCAATTACAGGTCAAAATTTGGCTCAGCGCTGTAAGCAGCCATTCTTAACACCTGAAGAAGCCATGGAATGGTGAGTCAATCGTGCACGACGTGCATTTCACTATTTCGCGTCTCAATTTTTCGATTCGAATTAGGGCCAACGAAGCATGGTGGAATGAGTATAAAGATGTCACATTCATCGATAAGAGCAACAATTACTCAAGCATTAGTGCATCCAATCAATATGGTCATTTTACGCAAATGGCTCGTGATAAAGCGTAATTAATTTTTTTAAAAAGACCAAATTTACATTTATGATTAATGAATTTGAAAATTCAAGTTATGCCATGGGATGTGCGGTCACTTCAACCGAAGACGAATACTGTCACACGATTGCTTGCAATTACGCAGTTACCAATTGTAAGTAAATTTAAACGAATTATTTTAATTATAATTTAAATTATTTTTATTTTTTATTTTATTTTTTTTCAATCTTCAAAGGGGGATTGGATCCAGGTAAATTTTTCAAGATCAATATCAAGCCATTTCGATTGAATTTTCACTTTCCTTTCACTTTCCTTTCACTTTCCTTTCACTTTCTTTCAAGTATATGCGACCGGGCCAGTACGAAGCAAATGCAAAACGTTCAGTAAAAAATATCCGGGTCTTTGTAGTGACCGCGAAGATTATACGAATTATGTGAGATTTGGCGTGTCATTTTTCACCAAAGACAGTAGTCCGGTTCCGCCGCTGCAGCAATGGATTGCTAATGGCCGTGTACTTATATCTGGGACTGATGTTAAGCGTCCAAGTGCTAGTGTGAAGCGAAAAACAGTCAAACCGACCCCAGTTAGTAGTGTGCCAACTATGAAAAGACAGAAGGTTATGCCAACAATGACGACCACTTCGGTTAGAGGACAGGTGCCAAGGGCTAATTCAATCGAAACCCAAATGCCACGAATTACCACTGTTAAGCGATCAGTGCCAGTAACTACACGAGCCACCACCACAACTACCACCACAACTACCACCATGCGACGACCACAAGTAGTCAGTTCGAAAGTGTCACTTGGCACATTTCAAATGAATAATTTGAATGATATGGATAGCATGATGGCCGAGGTGAAAAAGCGACTTGGGCAAAATATCAACACAAATACCATCAACACACAACTTTCACGTATGAATGTTCAGCTTGGCGACGGATTCAATGGGATCGGCAACGGCAACGGCAAAGTGAGAAAAATAAGAATCTCTGGCAATGCAAACCAATTACCCGACTGGGCCAAAAAACACTTGCAAGCAGCTGGAGTTTAATTTTTTTTCTTTTTTATTATTATTTCATGAAATTCAAAATAAAAGATGATATCAATTAGCAAAACATACTTATTTCTAGTACAAAAAGGCGTAGTTAAAAAGTACGACGATTATACTCAAAGTGATGACTCCATTCGCATGAATCATTTCGTTGTATTTCAATTTGACTCAATTCATTCGTCATTTCTGGCATCGTTATCCACTTTGTGTTCAAATAAATCGTCTCTTCAACATAAACAATGATTTTGCTCGCATCACATAATGCCTTACGTTGTTCGTTCATTGTTTTAAGATCCAGAGTGTGGTTAAAGTCGTGTGCGTTTTTAAAATGATCAACTTTGATTGTGTTCAATGTGACCAATCGTCCAATGAACAGTAAAACATCACTAAAAGTTGCTTGTCCAAAATGCACCCTTTCTAAACTGGCCAGTTTCTCAGCAAACGATTCAATTTCGATGAATTCAGGACACGATCGAAAGCTCATCTGTTTCAAATTGGCAAAAATCGGTAGAGCAATCCCGTATGCGATGTGACTTGTTAAAAATAATTTCTCAAGTCCATGTACCGAAGCAATTTCTGCGGTAGATTCTTCATCAATGTATGGTGCATACAAATAAAGTCGTCTATAAAATCGTTTCTCGAAAAATCGATTCAATAATTTGCAAATTGATTCGATGTGAAATTCCCATCCATTGATGTCGACGATTAAATCGTCCAATTCGAAATTGGCGTCCATAATCGACTGTTCGTTTTGCCAGAGACAATTTGCGTCCACCGCAAAACTGTGAACACTCTGATTACGTTCGAAAAACACCTTCAAATGATCGATCTTAAATCCAATTTGATAAAGTTCCAAATGTTCAAGCGCTGGATAGTGCTTTGTCAACCACTTAATATTGCCGCCGAATCGTCGAACACTTAGCCGTTTCAATTGTTTGCAACATTTCAACAAATGTTGATACAATTTTCCGTCCATGGTACATGTATCGATCTCCAAAATGTTCACTTTTTTCAACAATTTTCGAATTGAATTCACCGATTTCTTCGTCATGGCAACATCGACGAATTGAATGTGACGCAATGAATCCACGCAATTTGAACGCATACAATCGAATACATTGATGTCATTTTCATTTTCATTTCGATTTCCATAGATTGATAGTTTTTGTATGTATCGATTGAAACCATTCAATTGAACACTACAGAAAATGTACGAATATGCATTTAGACCGTCGGTTGCACAACGGATTTCGGTTGATTTGTAAGTGCATTGAAAATAATCGCCGGCAATTTGTTGACTTTTTTTACACGTTTGCCCGAATTTATGCAATTCATCGAGCGATAAACGATCGAATATTTCCGCAAAACAGATAACATCCAATTTAAATATGGGCGACAATTCGATTTCTTTTTTAGGCGAACGCAGTGACGATATATATTTGTATAATGATGCCATTTATTTGATGTGCACTGAATAGAAGGGAATTGAAATTATTATTTGATATTTACTTGGATTGAAAAAGTTACCTGAATCTAGAAAAAATAATAACTGTCCACAGAGCGATATTTGTGGAAGCTTTAAATTACAACAGAAAATCAAATGAATTGACTTGAAAGAATTGAAAGAAATAAAGTACACAAGCAAACTAAATGACCACTTGACTTTATCTATGTAGGATAAGCTATCAAACATAAAAAGGCGTAAAAAAACTAAAAATAGAGCAGTTTACAAGAAATATATGATTAATCCATGATTCAAGCACCGGGAAATTTTGCATGATTGCATTATATTGTGATAAGTTGAAACACTCATAAATTATTAGTCATAATTACATACATGTTTTGTGTATTACACATTAAAACACGGGACTGGGGGGTAATTTCCTCAAAAACTCCTAGCAAAATAAGAAAATTTCAGCTATGATCAGCTATGTTATGATGTGAAACTTTGCACAGGCTATTTTCACAGACATTTTTTGTGATTTTTTCAATGAAAAGTTTATCGAAAACTATTTGTATCGCAAAACTAACGTCAGATTCGATATTCTCTTACCAACAAATCTCCTACAGATAATAAAATTCAAGTACAAAAAAAAAAAAAAAAGATATTACAACAGAAAAAGACATTTTTGGTGAATTCTCAATGTGCTTGAAATTCGTAAATCGAAAAAAAATCAATCGTTCCTTTCGAGTACTTCCGATCAACTTTGAGTGATTAAAAGTCTTTTTTTGGCTAGTCTAATATTCATCAAGTAAAGAAACAATGTTTTTATCAATGTTTTTCGGTTTGTTTAGTTTTGATTATTAAATAAAAATCAATAACATCAACTTCATCGTAGTCAGCTGCAAAGTTTTAAGAATTTTATTTGCTCATATATGTAATTTGAGCTTTAATTATAAATAGAAAACAATAAATATTAATAATCAGACATCATTATGGTATCAGTAGTTTTTAGCTCCATGTTCGTTCAAATATTTGACTGCTTCTTTGTGACCTGAAAAGTATTACAATATTAGATAAGTTTAAACTGCATTGAAAATGTGTCTTTATATTAATGTGCTGCCCTTCGTAGCTGCATAATGGAGTGGAGAGTGTTGGAACACATCCACGGCATTTATATTTGCTCCATGTTCGATTAGAGCCTGGATCACTTTTGCGTGACCTGAAAAGCATCAAATGCATTTTAAATTCCCGAATCAAAAAAAAGTTTCTTTTAAATCTGAAAAAGTGTTGAGTTACCGTTTGAGGCAGCCTTATGAAGTGGCGCTTGTTTGTAGTCATCTCCTGCGTTCACGTTGGCTCCATGTTCGACCAAATATTTTACTACTTCTTCGTGACCTGGAGAACAGTTTAAAATACAGTGCGTATAATAGTTTATGAATAAAACAATCAAAGGGGTTCTTAATTCGGACAATTGAGCAACTACCGTTGATTGAAGCATAGTGGATTGGCGTCTCTTCATATTTATTCTCATCATTCACATTTGCCATATGTTCGATTAAAAATGTGACTGCTTCTAAGTGACCGCCCAAAGCTGCGCCATGCAAAGGACTTCTTTTGTGATCATCAGCGGCGTTAACGCTGGCTCCATGTTCGACTAGAAGTTTCATTGTATCTATGTGACCTAGAAGTCACGAATAGCTCATTACACTTCACGCAAAGTAATTAATTTCAAAAAGTTTTTTGGTACCTTTCAAAACAGCGTATAAAAGAGGAGATTTTAAACGATTATCAACGGTGTTAACATTGGCGCCGTGTTCCATTAGAAATTTGGCTTCTTCTGTACGGCCTAGAAAACAAGACCATTGATTATATGTGGTGTTATACATAATGGTAAAATGAAACATAAATTGTTTTCTTTTATGAGATTTGAACCTTACCTGCCGAAGCAGCGACCAAGAGTTGGTGATCCAAATCATCTTGAGTTGGTGCCGCTATCACACTGACACTCAGTAATAATAAAACGCACAAATATTTCATGTTTATGATCAAAATAGAGAAATATAATACGACCAGTAGGTATGCTACGCGAAAGCACTATCAAATTCTAAAGATTACTTTTTGAGGAGTGAATATAATTTGAACAATTTTAGATGAAATAAATTGAAATTAAATCTGAACTTTGCATTATTTCGCTAAAAATGCGTCTACTTCCAATGAGATTTGGACGAGAAATGATTTTCGAATGTACTTCTTTCTATAGCTTCTCATCAAAATTAGCTAGAATTGGGTCAAATCATGGTGAACGGTTCTCTATGTTATTTACACCATTCTTCTGCTATTTTTATTTTTGGAATTCCGTTACTTTCTAGTGATCATGGCTTTTAGTTCACAGCCGATTTTTAATACGTGCATAAATGAATAAGAATGCGCTTAAATTAATTTCATCCTATTACTTTTCCGCACACACCTAGTGTATAAGGTAAAGTATTGGAATCGGTCGAAAAATTAACACCCATCAAAAATATGTTTTCTGGGTGTTTTTGGCGCCAGGGAACACGAATCTAGCGTTTTTTCGATGTCCGAATGTATGTACGCTGTACGCAAAAATGTGTTAACACGATAAATTTCAAACAAGAAAAGTAATTCAAAATCTGACTTCACAGGATGATTGGGGGTGCCGAGGAATAGAAACCATTAGATTTTGAGCGACTTTGGTTGATAGAGTGAAGTGTCATGTCTGCTGTGATGCCCATGGCCATCCATGGGAAAAATTCAACCAAAAGTCGTATTTAATGTATTCATTTTATCATATATTTAAATTAAAACAAATGACGTCAATCACACCGTAGCCAGATTTTATTTGCTTAAATAAAAATTGTTGCGGTAAAAAGATTGACAAGAAGTCTTTTCCACATAATTTATTTATTGTATTTATTATTCCGCGCAACGATTCATGTGTACACGTAATTTGAGCTTAAATCATAAATAGAAAGTAATAATTATTAATCAGGCAGTATTGTGGTCTCTGGTGAACAAGTATCGTATGGATCGCCTTGCAAACCATGCAAGCATGTACAAATTCCATCAATGCGTTCTGCGTTTTGCGCACAAGGTATAGGATTGGATTTATCTACTGGAATTTCATCTTGGGCTATTTTTAAGTTATCAAAGAAAAGTTAAATATTATAAATTCAAAGAGTTTCGAAGATGATCTCATATATTTATTTGTAGTAAACGTACGTGGTGGTATTGGATTACAACTGATGAATGGATCTCCACTAAATCCATTACCGCATCTACAGCTTGGAGTATGCTTTTTAACCTTACATTCAGCATTCGTTCCGCAGACATCCAATGTGCAAGGATCGACGCATTTTCTATTTACACAAGCCTCTTGTAACCCGCAATCGGCGGAGAGGACACATTCAGGTTTACAATTTGGTGGCTGGCCAATGAAGTCAGGTAAACAATTGCATATGTAACAATCACCATTTGGACGACATTCAGAATATGGGCCACATGGATCTCTCAAACACGAGTCCAAGTAATCATCTTTTAGTGGTGACTGAGCTGTGGAATCAACTTTAAATTTTAAAAAAATCATTGGTTAAATCATTCAACTTGAATTGATTTGTGTTGTTAATAAAAAAGAGGAAAAATTCCGTAAAGGCCATATTTCCTAGGCGTCCGATTGTAATCGTGTAATTCGGTAACACGAGCCTGACCGAAACCAATTTTCACTCGGTATTTATTGAATTTTCGGGTGTAAAGGCTTTGAATTTTGGTCATTTCCGGTCGGGCGGGTCTTCGAACCACAGGTGACAATTTTTTTAAAAATATATTGAGAGTTTATAAAAGTCAGAATCTTACCATTACTCTTTGTACACAGACTGTTGTTTCCGCAAGGATATTGACGACATCCACCGATTACTACAGGAGGTAGCGCTAATGAAAAGGACCATATAAATTATATAATGCGTGATTATAGTGATGCGCTAACGAAATAATGGCCACTTTGAATCAAACTTACGCTCATTTTGACCAATTTTTGTACAATGTTGATATGGGTTTCCTTCCGTTCCACTTGGGCAGACGCATACTGGAAGGTGATTATAAACATAACAATTTGCGTTCTCTGCACATCTTGTACTTTCACAAGGATTTACACATTTATTTCGAATGCAAGCATTGTCTCTCAGACAATCACTATTGAGGTAACACTCATGTTTGCACAGAGTGTATGGATCGCCTTGCATGCCCGGAAGACACGAACACACTCCATTATTACATTGGGCGTTTTGCGCACAAGGTGATGGATGGCAATTATCTTTTTTAACTTTGTCGAGATCTATTATTTCGGATAGTATTAAATTCGATTAGAAACTAAAACATTCTGACCATGAGAGAAACGTAATTCTAAAAACTTTTCGTGTGTAGAAAATTATAAATGGAATTTCCTTACAAAACTTACGTTCATCGTATCCATCAATTGGAGAACAGTATCGATAAGAGTCTCCTGTGAAGCCAGGTCTACAGACGCAATTTGGCGTATGTTTTACAACTTGACAGTCAGCATTAGAGCCACAAACTCCTAGACAGGGATCAACGCATTTTTTGCGAATGCAAGCTAAATTGGCATCACAATGAATACTCAATTCACACTCTAATCTGCAGCCTTCATACGGATTACCGGAATACTCTGGTAAACATTCACACGAAGCTGTGTCGTTTTTTCCATGACAAATTGAGTTCGCGCCACAAGGACTGGGAAGGCAAGGATTAATTGGCGTTTCTTTAACTGAACACAGAAAAAAATCATTGGTAAATTTAAATCGCAAAATTCATGGTGTTAGATTTTTGGGACGATTTGTTACTTTCAAAATTGAATACTAAACATATTCATTTTGATAACTTTGATTTTTGCCAAATGTATTTTTTTCAGAGCAATTATTTGGTAGACTAATCACTTTTCGAACTGGTTATAAATTGTTTATTACCTTGATGATCTACATCATCTTGAGTTGGTGCGGCTCTCACACTGACACTCAATAATAATAAAACACACAAGTATTTCATGCTCATGATCGAAATAGAGAAATATAATACGATCAGTAGTTATGCTATGCTAATGCACTATCAAATTCTAATGATTACTTTTTGGAGAGTGAATATAATTTGAACAATTTTAGTTGAAATAAATTGAAATTAAATTTGATTTTCTCATTCAATTCTTTCGCTAAAAATGCGTCCAAATTCAGTGAGATTTGGCCGAGAAATGATTTCCGTATACTTTATTCTAGTTTCTCATCAAAATTTAGTTGAATTGGGTCAAATCATGGTGAAAGGTTCTCTATGTTATTTACATCATTCTTTCGCTATTTTTATTTTTGCAATTCCGTTACTTTTGATCATTGCTTTTAGTTCACAAACGTTTTTAACGCTTGAATTAATGAATAAGAATGTGCTTAAATTAATTACACCCTAACTTTATAGTGATCTCAAAGAGTAACTGGTTTGATGACGACAAATATATAGTCGTTGCTAAAAAAAAACAAATGATGTCGTTATTCAGTATTTTCGTTTTTAAAATTGATTCGATTGAAATTTCAACTTGCAAATGCAAATCAACTTGAAATCAAAACTTATGGTTTCTGGTGAACAAGTATCGTATGGATCGCCTTGAAAACCATGTAAGCATGTACAAACATCATATTTCTTTTTGAGGAATGAATATAAGTTGAATCTAGGGGAAAATATCGAATAAAATAAGTAACGAATATGCTGCGTTTAAGAATATAAACCGTATATACCGAAGAATATTTGCAAATAACCCCGTATATATGTGGTTTATACGCATATATGCAGCGTATATGCGGCATACTTGCGATGTCTTCATCTATTTATAGTATATTCGATAAAAAATACTTGAGTATAAACCGTATAAACGTATAGATAATTCCCCCTAGAGTTGAATTTTACTCAATGAATTGAAATTAAATCTGAACTATGCATTAAATTTGCTAAAAATGTATCCAAACTCAATGAGATTTGGAAGAGAAATGAATTTCTACTTAATTCTATAAGTTTCGCATCAACATTTCCATGGGAATGCTTGCAAGCACTCAAATTGCACTGTTCGTCCGGGGTTTTTACACCGTTCGTCAGCTTCTTGTTTACGGAAAACAAGAAATAAAATATGGAGTGAAACACGGAAAAAATACATGTATGTCTGTATTCTTTTCATGTTTTGCGTCTTGTTCTTCATTCCTCTTTTCATCTGTTTGCAACATCCAACTTTATAAACACCAATTAAAATGATATTAAAAGCCTACCTGAAGTATTCTTTACCAAGAAATCGATAAGTATGCCAAATGTTGTTTCCCATCACGCTTTTGTGTAATTACATTCAAAGTGCAATAACGTTTTTGCGTGCCTTTTCTGGAGACTCTTTAATAGATGTCAATTAATGTACCCAAGTGAAAAGTGCAACGTTCATTATTGAAGAACTCTGCACATAAGTGGTTTCCTTATTCTTTCAGGTGGGAAACTTTTGATTTTCATTTATTGATGAATAAAACTTTGAAATTGCTATCTTTTAGAAATGTTTGTCTTTTTAGATTTTTTCAAAGCAATTATAGTTTTTTCTAGATAAGGCGCGATTTAACCAAATATTTTTCAATTTAACTAGTAGAACTTCCATAGAATGACTTTTCTTTGGGATGGATAATTTTTTCTTATTATTATGTAAATTATGCCGTGATAAATATAAGTGAAACTCTGGTGTATAAAATAGAAAATTTGCTGATATTCTTTGAGTTCGATTCTATTTTGATTCAAAAACCGCGTAAAATCTTCCACATCTCACCTTATCTCAAATTAATAGAACTTTCAATGTCAGTTCTCTACTCTAATCAAATTCGAGTGATTTTTTATTCAGTCCGGAATTAAATTCGAGAACATTATCGAAAATTTGGTCAGACCCAAAGTTGGACTCAGCTTTCCCACCGGTCCCGATTATCTCTTTTACAAACAAGAATTTTTTACCCAAAAGTCGTATCAAAAACTTTTTTTACATATTTTTTTGGGCTAGAGGTTTACATTAGGTAGAATCGAAGTTTGTACGATTGTTGGATTGTTGTCATTCTAAAATCCTTGTCATGCCCGCCTATGCTTGAACCAAAAAATCGGCACGTTTACTGCTGTCAAAAGTATTTAAATTTATTCGAAAATGGTGTTACGAAAACTGAATCCGCCGAAGGTTAAAATGCATTTATCCACATTATTTTCCACAAATTTCCATTATGATTTCGTAAAATGCCAAAATTTAATTGTGTTTTTGAATAAATTGCTCTCTAATTGGTTCGTAATTATCTATTATTATAGGACGGATATCAACATGGCACCTATATAAAAGGTGTTTTTCATTCTTTGAAAACAGTCATTAAAAAGTGTTTGCAACTAGCTTCACCACTTGAAATTAGTCTTCTTCTTGATAATTTTCATATATTTTTCGAAATTCAACGTTTATCTCTTGAAATCAAAACTTAAGAATGAAGCCGTTGAAAATGACTCGTCAGGTGTTTACGTGGTTGTGCATATGTCCGATAAGCGACACCAAAAGCGAATGGAAAAAGGTGTTTTATATTATTTTTAGTTTGGCTGTTGTTGGAATTTTGTTTGCTCAATTGATCACAAGTGCGTTGTACTTCATGGAATTCCATTCGGAGGATCTGGAGAGTTCGTTGTATGCAATTTATCAAATTTTTGCTTGGATACCAGTTCTGTACATATATGTAGGTGCATTTATGTCTCGTCATAAAATTACGGCCATTTTCAGTGGAATGGAGGAGATCTATGACAAAAGTAAGCTCCGTTTTATGCCGATTTCGATTTTTCGAAAGTTTAAAATCATGTTTTTACAGTCAACGATAGAGAATCGTTTCAATTCTTGACTGAAGTAAACGAAAAAAGCAAATGGATTTGGAGGGTATACTACAAATATGTAATGGTTTACAATGCTATTGGCTCAGCAGTTGTAGGCAGCTGTGTTTCCACACTGTTGTGTTTGAAAATGCTTGGAGGGTTCCATCGCGATATTTTATACTTGCAGTTTAAATTGAAGTAAACCGTGAACACTGAACAAAAAGAGATCTTTCTTTAACAGAACGTGCATTTTTTCAATCATCTATTTTTCAGTCTACCCTGGAATCAATCTACACCGCTTGGTTATTTTGCTGAAACAACTTACAGGTTTTCCACAAATTGATTTCGTAAAATGCTAAAATTTAATTGTGTTTTTAAATAAATTGCTCTCTAATTGCCTCGGCAGTGTCTTAACTTGTGAATCATATTTGATTGTAAACGGCGCCATCATGTTGCTTTTCGTCTCATTGGCCTGGCATCATAATGCATTTTACAAAATGTTTCGACTCTCGTTAAACAATTTGGAGCATTCAAATGGACACGATGACACACAAAGAATTCACGATTTAATTCGTTTTCATAATATGGTCAAAAGGTGAATAGCAGAATATACTTATTTCATTCCATTGAATTTTAAGCAGAAATTAAAAAAAAATACCAGTTGGTTTTTCGAAACGGCTGCCGTTTATAGTGTTCTTGTCATGATGCTCGCTTTGTCATCGATGCTTGCTTTGTCTTGTTTAATATTTCAAGTTGATTTGGTAAGCGAATCAACCTGAAAAAATCTCTTCGTCCTTACTTTAAAATTTTAACAAAACATTTGAAATTTCATTTGAAAATTCACAGGAGTTCAAGCATCCAGACGCGGCTCTCGCATTCTTATTCCTTGCGATTATGGTCAATCTAACGAATCTTTTTGTATATTGTTACTTTGGAAAATTATCGAGTTTAAGCTACGAACAAATGGCATACTCTTTGTATGAATTCAATTGGCAGCGACTGCCAGTAAAATTACAAAAGTATCTTGTGCTCATGATTGGAAATATGCATCGTCCAATATTTTACCACGGTTTTGGCTTTTTCATTTTGAACCTCGAGACCTTTACCAAAGTATTTTGACAATTGCACAAAATGTTTGCCTAATTTAAAAAGAAATCTTCTTTTCAGTTACTCAAGACCGTTGTGAGCTATTACATGATGCTCGTGACTATTACTACCGACTGAATTCGGCCGCAGTTTGAATTTGTTTTAACGTTACCAATCTTAAATTTAGATAGTAATAGATTTTTGATTTTAATTCAAAATGTACTTAGCTTTTACATTCAAGGTGGAAAAGAACACGTTTTTTTTACAACGAAAGCGCCAACAAAGAAAAAGAATGTGATTCACCATTTTTGGAATATTAATTAATTAAATAATTTGAAATAGATGCGAAAACTGACAAGGATACATCACTATGGGTTGCGGGCGTTGAGCCAAACGACATATGCCACGATGTAGGTCTAGGCCAGACTACCTACGCCACATATCCCGTTCGTGCTCATGGGAGTAACTTTTTTTCGCTACAACCTTTGGTAGTTTTCATACTAGAAGGCATTTGGATGAATTTTCAAAACAACATAATAAATTATTATTACCATACGTCCTCAAGGAAAAAATTTAAGGGGGGGGTAATTGAAAAAAATCGAGAGGGGTAAGCAAAAAAGTGAAGTGTATTTTGCGAAAAGTGTACCTTTTTCGTTTTTTTTTTTTTTTTTTTTGCTCCTCACTTTTTGGGCGAAAATCCCTAGCAAATTGAAAGAATTTTTCCTACGTTGAAAACAAAAGTGAGGAGCAAAAAAAAAAAAAAAAAAGGTCCTCAATTTTTTGGCGAAATTCCCTAGCAAATTGAAAGAATTCTTTGAAAATTTTGAAGGGGTAACACTTCGTCAGGGGGGGGTAATCGGACCCCTCGGACCCCTGCTGAGGACGTATGTTGACACTCTAATGAAGCCAAATATGATAACGATTAGTTTGATTAATTTGATATTTACTCAAAAGTGTGAACTTCTCTGAGGACATGCTATAGACAAAAAATATTTTTCTATTTAACGAAATTTCAATCTACTATATGAATGTATTGCACATTTTTGACCTGAACTAGATATTTAAA